GGGAGGGGGGGGGAGGGGAGGAAAGGAGCGGATGCGTACCGACGATTTTGACAGTCCTCGAAGCCCGGCTGATTGCGCGCAACGATTTCCGAAGACGTTGCACCCCGGAACGAGCGAACGCATCGTCGAAAAGGGCAGCTCGCTCGCTCGCTCGCTCGCTCGCTAGTTCGCCGTGGGCCACAGAGGGACAGACCGGCGAGGGTGGCTCGGCAGGGGAGGGTGGCGGGCGAAGGGTGGCTCGGGGTTCTCTCTCGGTGGTCTCGCCGGAACGATCGGGCGGCTCCGACGGCGCTCGTATCTGGCCGGCTTTCACGGCGCCGGCGCTATTTCACCCCTTTGACGTAGCAAAATGGCGGCGGCGTGTCGGAGGCGTCTCCGTTCGCACAGTGCTCGACGTCGAGCAGTCCGCGTACGTTCGCAACAACGTTCCAGCAGATTAACCCGGCGGCAGAACGGGCGCATCGCACGCGACCGCGGCACCGCGCTCTTACGTGCGTGAAACACGGGCTCCTACCTTCCTTCCGGTGACGCCGACTACCCCCGTGCACGGGGCGGTGAAGGCGAGCAGCAGCGTGCGGGTTACGCGTCGGTCGCGGTCGACGCGAAAGCGACGTGAAGAGCAGCGGCGAGCAGTGCCCGGAGAGAAAGGGAGAGAGAGACAGAGAGAGAGAAAGAGAGGAGGAGGAGGAGAGAGAAAGAGAGAGAGATACGGTGATACGGCCAAGTGTGCGTCCGGTACGTGATATTCTCCAAGAGTTTTCTCTCGCGACGCCGCGTGCCTCTTCCGGTCTCCTCCGTCCCCTCGTCCCCTTCTCTTCTCCTCCCTGTCCCTCTTCTCTCCGTCCAATTTTCGCTCCGAATTCGTCCGTTCGTGTCTCCCTCGTTGTTGTTTCTTTCTTCTCTCTTTCGCTCTGCTCCCTACCTCCCTCCTTCCTCTAGCTCCCTCCCGTCGTTCTGCCTCGGTCCTTTCTCCCGTGGTCTCTCGGTCTCTCGACGTTTTCTCGTCCCGGTAACTCGTTCACGGCACCGTCGGTGAGATGCGCGTGACCGGTCGCGCCTCGGGACGACGGCGACGACGTGCCTGGCGTTGTTGGTGCACGTTCCTCTGACGAGCACGGGAGACGCGCGGCGGGACTCGGCACGTCCACCGCAGCCCTCGCTACTATGATAATAACGAGAGGCACGGCGACGGCGGTGGCGGCAAGGTGGGCGCTTCTCCTCAAGCGAGAGACGCTCGGCCGAACTTACCACAACGGTGGACAACGGCGATCGGCGGTGATCCTTAGCGACGCGGCTACGGCGATGTTGTCTCTTTGCGGCCGTACACGCGCAGCACACGGGAACGACAACAGCAACGACAGGACCGACAGCAACAACAACAATACCACCATCAGCTTCGTAGGCACCGGGTCGCAGTGGACCAGCGGCTGTACAGTCGTGTTGGCCTTACCGTATTACTATTGTCAGCGTCGCGTCGGTGAAATCGCTGTAACGTCGGACCGCACGTTGCCCGTCGACGACCACGAGGACGAGCCGATAGCACCTCCGAGTCAGCAGCAGCACGACGACGACGACGACGACGACGACGACGACGACGACGACGACGAGGAGGACGAGAACGGCGGTGACGGTCGCCTTCTCAACCGCCGGGATAGACTACGTTGTTGCGCGTGACCAAGAGCCTCGCTACGCCGAGTCGATGATACGCGCGATGATACAGTGTGACGATTAACGCGGCGGACGAACGTGTGCAAACAACCCGCCGGACGGACGGACGAAAGAGAGAGAGAGAGAGAAAGAGGGAAGGAGGGAGGGAAGGAGACTCTTCGCGACTCAGTTACAGCTGCCGATAACGGGTCAATCGGCGGTAATAACGTGTAACACAGTCATTTCTACGATCGATCGTCATCGCGCGCGCCGGTATAGAGGGGAACGCGGTATATAGGAGATAGATAGATAGAGAGAGAGAGAGCACATAGGAACTCGTGTCACGTACGGTCAGCGGCCAGTGTACATACGGAGAGGGTGGGCGGGTGAATTGAGGGGGCGAGAGAGCGAGACAGAGAGAAGGTATATCGGCCGATTCAGATAAGCCGTGTTGCGATAAGGTGTACGGACGCTTCGTCGCGGCCGCGGTCAACCGGTGACAGACAGTAAACAGAGTTTTTTGTGAAGAAGTAGAGAAGAAAGGGGGGAAGAAACACAGCAGGTACAGAGGAGAGTGGCTCGGTCGGTCGGCCGCACGAGTCGAGCTTACCGCGAGCTTGCGATTCGCGTAAACAGCGTACGTCGCGATCACTCGACACGTAACGTGCACACACACATATATACACACACGTATATATATATATATATATATATATACATATATATATATATATATATATATATATATATATATATATA